GGTGGGGGTTTGGGGGTTTGGGGTTGGGGTTTGGGATCTCGGCTGGAATTTTGGGGGTTGGAGTCGGAATTTGGGATCTCAGGTGGAATTTTGAGAGTTTGGGTTGGGGTTTGGGGCTGGAATTTGGGGGTTTGGGGTTGGAATTTTGGGGGTTGGAGTCGGAATTTTGGGATTTTGGGTGGAATTTTGGGGGTTTGGGGCTGGAATTTTGGGGGTTGGAGTCGGAATTTGGGATCTCAGGTGGAATTTTGGGGGTTTGAAGTCAGAATTTGGGATTTTAGGTGGAATTTGGGGGGTTTGAGGTTGGAATTGGGGATTTCAGGTTGAATTTTGGGGATTTGATGTCAGAATTTGGGATCTCGGGGTGAATTTTGGGGTCTCTGGGTGGGTTTTGGGATCTCAGATCGGATTTTGGGGTTCCCACGTTGGAATTTGGGATCTCAAACAGAATTTTGAGCGTCCCAGGGTGGAATCTGGGCAGCGCCCGGTCCAATTCAGGGTCTCAGGTTGGATTTTGGGGTTCCCAGGATGAATTTTGGGGTCCCAGGAGGGATTTTAAAGCCTCAGGTTGAATTTCGGGCTCTTTCCCACCCCCCAAAATCCCCGATTCCCCCCCAAATCCAGGCGTGGATTTTGGCTACGAGGGCCAGGAGCTGCTGTTCCGCAACCTGGATTTTGGGATCGACATGGAATCCCGAGGTGGGACCCCCAAAATCCCCCCAAAATCCCCCCAAAATCCCCCCGGGGGGGTCGGGGGGACCCCGCCCTGACCCGGGGACCCCCCGATTTCCCCCCAAAATTGTCAGTTTGCATCGTGGGCCCCAACGGGGTGGGGAAGAGCACCCTGCTGCAGCTGCTGACCGGGGCCCTGACACCGGTACGGACCCCGAAAATGGGGAAAGGGACCCCGAAAATGGGGAAAGGGACCCCGAAAATGGGGAAAGGACCCTGAAAATGGGGAGAGGGACCCTGAAAATGGGGAAAGGGACCTCGAAAATGGGGAAAGGACCCTGAAAATGGGG